AATTATAATTATAATTATTATAATCTACATTGACCAGATTCTTCTGTCACGTTCAGACCCTCATCTCACCAAGCAGAAACGCATCATTCCCTCTCCATCCACTTTATTTACAGTATTCCATAAAGGAAAAACAATTTCAAAGCTGCTTTTCCTGCTTGATTTTAACCAAGGAATGTCACAGCATGACTGTGAGAGGCAGGAGCAAGCAAGCAGGTTTATCTCCATACAAACAGCTTTGTTGTTAAGGAAAATAAAAATAGCTGAGCGTCTTTCACACTTGCAAGCATAATTGATTTCCAGTAGTTTCTGTGGATTTTGATATCCAGCAGCTCCCCTGAGCCTGGCAGCTTTTTGTGGGACATGGGAATGGGGCTGGGCTGCTCCTGTGCTCATCCATAATTCTGCTGTCCCTGATCCCAGGGATGGTGTCCATGGCAAACTCTGGCCCAAACACCAACGGCTCCCAGTTCTTCATCACCTGTGACAAGACAGACTGGCTGGACGGGAAGCACGTGGTGTTCGGGGAGGTGACGGAGGGCATGGATGTGGTGCGGGAGATCGAGGTAGGTGAGGGCAGGGGGGTGCTGGGGGCAGAGCCCTCTCCCTTTCCTCCCCTGAGGATTAGTGCCTGCAATTCCTGCTGCTCTCTTTTCCCCAAGGCTCAGGGCACCAAAGATGGGAAGCCGAAGCAGAAGGTGATCATCTCGGACTGCGGGGAGTGCCCGTGAGCTCGGTGCTTGGAGGGGCTGGATGGAGGGACAGGGACACCCCAGGGACGCCCCAGCACTGCCCATCCTGCAGCTTTCCTCCAAATATTCCTGTGGGCAGGATTTATCCTTCCTGGGAAGGATATCTGCTGCCTGAGCAGGGCTGGGCTGGTCCTGCTGCCGTGTTCTGGGAAAAAAAAATAAATTATGTTTGGTAAAAATAAAACCTAGTTTTAAAAATACTGAGGGCCTGGCTGGAGATGCTTTTTCTGGTTTTTGTGCTTGCCCTCATCTTCATCAATCCCGTGCCTAAATCCTGCATCCAGGGGAAGGTGAATCCTGCAAGCAGTGCCAGGGGGAGAAGAGCAGAGCTGAACCTCCTGTGGGTGTAGCAGCATCTCCTGGAGGCCTTTTTTGGCTTTGTAGTGTCCTTTTCCAGCAGCAGAGGGAGGCAGGTCCTCCTGCTGGGAAACCTGGTCCAGCTCCATCCCCATCCCTGCCTGGAGAACACGGTCAGGACAAGGAGCACCAGCAAATGAGGGATGCAGGGTGGGATAAAACACATGGATTTATGGTTCCTGTGGTGGGCTTTGCCCTTCAGGGTGACCAGGATGGATTTGGGCTTTCCTGTGAAATTCCAGAAGGGATGTTGGGTTCTGAGCTGGTGCAGGTATTGGCAAGGGGGGGGTGAGGCTGCTGAGGTGGAGAGAAAAATTTGATTTTTGGATTTTGGAGAGGAAGAGCTGATTTTTGGATTTTGGGGATGTTTGGAAGTGCTTGTGCCACTGGGGATTTGGGGTTTGGCCAGCCCCTCACAAGTCAGGACTGCTGCTTTTCCATAAGGAATAGTTCCATAAGGAATAGTTCCATAAGGAATAGTTCCATAAGGAATATTTCCATAAGGAATATTTCCATAAGGAATATTTCCACAAGGAATAGTTCCACAAGGAATAGTTCCATAAGGAATAGTTCCATAAGGAATATTTCCATAAGGAATAGTTCCATAAGGGATATTTCCATAAGGGTTGCTTTTTTCCACTGCCTGCTTTTCACTGTGCATTGTCCTAAAGCTGAGACAAGGTGAGATGCAAGGATGTGATTCCAGCCCAGCTTCCCCTTTTCCCTTTCCTCTTTTTGTTCAAATCCCACATTTTAAAGTCAGCAAATCTTTCTTATTTTGGTGGCGTTATTGGGATTTTTTCCCCCGACTGTGCCAGGTTCTTTCCTTATTTATTGATGTAAGGTTCCCCAGGTAGCTGAGCTGAGAACCAGGGCAGGCTTTTTCCTTTTAAAATCAGAGCAAATAAATAATTGAATTGTGCAAATAGCTTGGGGAAGCTGCCTGGGACTGGCAGCCCCGCTGGGAGCCCACGGGATGGGCACAGCCTGACCTAAAACTCACATCAGGGCTCATTTTCAAGCAAAAAGCTCCAATTTTAGCCAATTCTGAGTATT